AGCTGTGAATAGTTTGATTGCTAAAGGTACCCTGATTCCAAAAGGTAATTAGGCTCTGGTGTAAGCTGCTCTTCAGACAGCACCTGAGGACCTTGGTGTCAGAGCACAGCACAGGCAGCACTGGAGCGAGTGGTCCTCATCCTCTTGTCATCCCTGTCCCACAGCTTGATTGGGCCTGGTTTCAGCATCAGCAAATGCTGTCCCGCTGATGGTGGTTTCTTCAGGCTTTTTGCAGAAAAACACATGTGGTTCCTCCAGTATCTGGGGTATTTTGCAGTCAGTGTATGGAGGGTGGAGGAGCTGGGAATGATAGAGAAATACCTCGAAAAAGGCATGTTTTGGGTTCCTCAGTAGAAGTGTGGCTGAGAGGGCCACAAGAAGGATGATTTGTTTCTGGTGGTGATGGTGGTGGAAAATTTAACCAACAAGAAAAAGGCCTCTGATTTCGTTTGAAGGTTGGGAATTAGGGGATTACCTTTGGGGAAAGTGTGGTTCAAGACACTTAATAAAGTCATCTAGCAGTGGTGGTTGTGTCCGTGAGCTCTTTATGTTAGTACAGCATTTGCACTTGAGAGACATATGAGTAATATCCCTTAAGAAGAGCTCTAGCTGAGATCCCACCCATGAACAGCAATGAAGTCTGGTGGTGGTGTCAGGCATTCCTCTATCCAGGCAGTAGCAAAGACAAGAGCCAGGATACCACTAGCTCTGTTTATTGTTTTGTACCAGAGATGAACTGTTAAGTCATAGCTGTTACCTATGGATAGGGTTGAAGTCAATGGACTAATGGTCTGTACCCAGAAGGGCCAGGGTGCCCACTGCCATTTCCATCAAAGCAGAAGTCATAATTTTCATCCTCTTCTTTTGTCAGAGCTTTTTTCCTGTTAAAGGGAATTGGATTCAGGCAAGGGGTTTGGGTCTCCTTCCCCCAAGAAAAGAGTATACTACCAGTATGTTCTGGCTGAATGCTTTTCTCTGTAACTGCTGATTACTGTTGATTGAAGGATGAACAGTCAATTCCACAGAGCATATTCCACCCACCCAAAGCAGATTTTTGGCACAGCTTGCTTCCAGGAAGGTGTTATGTTTTCTGACTTCTGAAATAAGCATTTTATTGTATTTTTTTTGTGTAGTGCATCTTTCATTCATTTTCATTGAAGAAACACGTGTTTTGGGGTTGTTATCAACCAGCTCTCAGTTTCCTTTTTCTGCACCTGAATGAAGGATCTGAATAAACAGAGGTACAGATATGTCATTCCCCCTTCCTGTTTTAAGCTTTGCATGTACTGGTGACAGTAGTGTTACTTTCCTCTGCCTCTCAAAAAACAAAACAGCAGACCTTTCTGAGTCATGTTTTTGCCACTGTGGTTATACAATGGTATTTGGTCTTCTCTTTTTCTCTTCTTTTTCTTACCTGTACAGGAGATGACATTTGGCTGTGTCATTGCTCAGTCTTTCTGTAGTACTATTTAGTGGTATGTGATGTGATGGCTAAAGAATACTAATTTTCTTGTGTCTGGCCATTAGTGCATGGGAGGTTAGGGAGGGCCAAGGTGTAGCAGTTGGTGGCTTTTCTCTCCATGTGAGGAAGGAAGGGCTGCTAGATGTCCTTATGCTGCACATTAGCAAGGGGAAGCAGAGACTTCCATCTGCACACTCAAGATTAGCAGCCATTGTTTGTTTGCTCCTTTTCCTGCTGGATTTAATTCCTTGCACTTCCTCATTTCTTGTATTCAAAGTCACTGTCCAAATGGGGAGTGAAGAGTTGGTTCAGAGCTTGTATTTTAAATACAAATGTATTTAAACGGTCCCTCCCCACTGTCTTCCCTCCACCCCAGCAAAAGCATATCACTGACATTATTGGTCCTCCACTTTCTGAGTAGGTAACAGGAATAGTGGGGATACACTAATCTTACACCAGGTTTTGCTTTTGCAGGGAACCTCCCTTTTTGGCAGGGAGAAGTTGCAAACTGCATGTTGAACACCACAGCTACGCTGCTCTGTTAACCCCTGACGCACTGACAGACAGGAGGTGTGTGACAGTTACAAGATGGGTACCTGAGTGACACTTGTCATTGCTGCTGAGCACACCAGAGAGACTTGTGTCTTGATGCCAGCTGTACCTGTAACAGCTTTGTCAACCAGCTACCTAGATGCTACACAGTCTGTTTTTAGCAGCTGCGAAATGGTGACTGAGGCTTATGCTGTTACTTGAAAGGCTCTACCACTTCCCTGCACATAGAACAGACATCTTTTATTACTGAGGAAAGGAAACTTGAGTTTACCGTTTATTTTTTAATACAATTAAACTCTAGGAACTCTAGGAAAAAAATGTTATATACAAAATACCTGTGATAAACAGAGCAGCTCACCTGGTAGAAAGACCCAGATATTAAGCCAAAAAGGTCTCATAGAAACCATTTGTGTTCAATTCACTGAATACAGCACAAGGCAATAGAAAACATGATTCATAGTATACGTGCTTAAGGAAAAAATAAACCAAATAACCTGCCCAACAAGAATACAAAACCGAACTGATGCTAGACGTATTTGTCAGTGAAACATTTTGTTTCCTTTAGAAGGAGTTAACTTCAAAGGTCAGAGGAGTCTGGTGACAGAAAGGTTTGGCACAGTACAGAGAACAAACCCTTCTCCAGGGGGCTGTGCAATCATCAGTCAGGAGCAGAAGTAAAGCATAGGACAGGCAGAGGGAAAAGGTTGTGTTGGTCCAACTGTCAGGGCTGTGGTGTGGTTGGTAAGGTGGAAATGCATTGTTATAGCAGGGAAGGAAGCACAGTGTTAAAAGTGAGCAAACAAAATAACAAAAGGAGGGTGTTCAGCCTCCAGGAAGCTAGTAGTTTATGCTGGAAAGAGGAAGTATGGGAAGAAATGGAAAGTATGAGACACTGTTGCCCGTAGACCCAAGTCCTGCAATAAGGTTGTCTTTTGGAAACACTGTTTTCCGTGTCACCTGTTTTCTGCTTTCAACCAGAATTCACAAGTGCAAAGCTTATGGTTTCCTTATCACCCACCTTGTCTCTTTGTCAAAAAACCTTCCATAAGAATGTTTTGAAGCTCCCATTTCACTTCATACAGTGAGAAAACAGTAAAAAAGCTGATGGGGCAGCATGATGCTGCAGGAGTAGAAAAGGAGCAGTGCCTTATTTTTTACTAGCAACTCTTATCCCTTAGCCTCTCGTAGCGCAGTCCTCTATAAACCACTTTTAGTCCTCTTATTTCCTCCAGCAATTTCTCTTTCAATATGTACCTGCTAGAAAAAAGTGAAGTGGGTAGAATATTTCTTGGCTGTGTCCTAGCTTAAGCAACAACACATCCCACAGAGAGAGTGGCATGGTGGTTGCTCTGCTCTGCTAACTACACACATGGACAGAGCAGCAAGGGAACAGGTACAGTTTGCAGTGGGACAGAGCAAAAGGGAAAACCAGATCTGTCAAACTCAGGGCAGGGTTGACTTAGGTTAGAATGCAGATTTGCTTAGGAAGCTTGGTGGGGCTTGGGGCTTTTTCTCCCCTGAAAATGAGAAACCACTTTTTCCTACACAGTAGGCAAGAATATCACCCAGATTAGATGAGTCCTATCCAGTGTTAGAATCCTGCAGGGTACTTCCTTCAAGTCCCGGCTGGGAAGAGAGAACGCTAGCAGAAAGTGGCAGCATTCAACACAAAGTAAATCCCTATGTCACTGTGTGAGACTCCCAAGAATACGGAGAGCCTTCCCTAACAAGTATCCTATACAAATATACAAACAAAAGCAGACCTATGTTTATGGAGCAAGGCTGAGTTACATTTCATTGCATGTAGGTACATGTGAGAGAAACCACAAATTGTTACAGAAATGCGGCGTTACAAGTGTGGGTAGGAAGGAATGCATGTAAGAGCTTGTACAAGTGTATGCACAGAGGCGTGCACAGTGCACCACCACTAGCACAGTGCTTTGTCAAATGTGCCCCCACAGTAATTCAATGGAGGAGCAGTATGTTAGTACCTGGGTTGGTGAGGCCATCCTTTCAGGAGAGAAAGGTTACGAGAACTTCTGCCACTGCTGTGGATAAGCAATATTAGTTAGCCTGCTAAGTGTGCTGTCAGTATGGATCATTCCCTAAAAAGTCTCTTAGCACTGAAAATAAGTATGAGGCACGTAGTTTCACTCAAGGTGCTTCTCTGTGAAAAGTGTGTGCATTATTGCCTCTCTAGGGGAGAAGGGACATGCATCTGTAATGGTCAAGTCCAAATCCAAAGTCCTCCAGCGCAAAGAACAGTACTGGCAGATAATCTGTGCGAGGCTGAATATAAAAAGTTTTAGCTGCTCCCAGTCACCACATGGAGGCACAGCCTGACTTGAGACTGTGTGTCAGGGCCTGGGGTCTGCCAAAGGCTAGCTCTGTGTTACTAAAGGGGCTTGTGGCTGTGGGCTGCCTGCCAGGGCTGTGCGGGGCCCCTGATGTTCACAGAGGCAGCATCAAAGTCAGAGGATCCCAAACTGTTGAACTGGTATGTTGATGCTCATGATACTCCTGCCCTGCTGCAGGAACATGGAGGGTCCTCCCAGCTGGAATACCAGTGTCTCGCTGTAAGGAGACCACACCACAGCTTCTGTGGCATAGGTGGGGGTTTGTGTTCATTCATACAGGATTATGTTGCCAGTCTCCGTAAGCAGAGCTTTCTACTGCTGTCATCCCCTTTCAGAGAGCCGAAGGGTCAACACAGTAAATATTGCTGTACAATGAGCAGTGGGGACTGCAATGCGGAATACACAGGATAAGAAACCTGGGGGACACAGAGAAAAGATTTTACTTATTTTTCCTCCACTTCTTAATTCTAAATACGAGGCAAGAACGTTGCAGAGCCGAGACAAAAGGGGATGACGTGCGATAGGCCTCCACAAGAGGGCTCCCACTACAGTAAAGGCGGAGCTGAGGGCGGAACAGAGGTAGGCAGCTCAAGCGGGGCACTACAGTGAGCTGCTGTGCCTCACTGTGAAAAACTGGACCGTGGAGAGGTGCTGTCTGCGGAGTGAGGATGGCTTGTGAATGTGCTACCCTCTTTAAGCAGCAACAGGACATGGCTCAGCACATCACACAGTTACGAGATGACTTAGCCACTAGGGAAGCACAGCTTCCATCCCTGTCCGCAGACAAGCAGCAGTTCCAAGAGCTGCAGTTAGAAACACCAACCATTTGCAGAAAAAGCCTGGCAAGCTTTTGTAACAAAAGAGGAATGTGGCAGAATGGATTTATTCAGTAAGTGAACTCCTGCCACTTCCATCACAACCCCCCTCAGAAATCATGCTAACCAAGGCTCTAGTATCTGTTCAAGATAGGGCCTTCCCCCACAGGAAAACATGAGTGCGTGGTCAGGTTTGGAAAGGAGACAAATGGCCTGAATGATAGTTTGCCTTCCTTTCCATCACAAAAATGTTACACTTTCAGATTACTGCAGTGCACGGCATGACAAACTCATGACTCCCAGGATTCTACAGCAGTTGCTCTACTGCATTGCCCTGGCAATGTATTCAGTATGCCAAGGTGAGAGCAGGAAATACAGTCACCTGGATAATGATGTGAATAAGAGCAGTTAGCTGCTAATCTTTACTTAAGTCTCTTAACTTGAAAAATGTCTTTTCGGAGGACACAGCTTTGAACACAGCTGAGCTTTCGAGCTAAAACAAATATAATGCTCTGTACTAGTAAAACATGGCTAAGCCAGACTTTTCCTCAGCCCATCCTTCACAACACCTCAGTATCACAAGTAGCTCCTTTTAAGAGATAGATGAGCATTTCTTGGGCAAGTGTTGAAGGGGAAACTTCTCCATTCCTCCAGCTGCTGAAAGAAACGGACATATCTCAGAAATGGACTGGCATTGCTAATCTTAATGGGAAAGCTGGAGTTGTTCTCTTGTTCATCTCTCCCTCACTTCCATTTGGTCAGTCCTTCATTTCTATCATCAGTGGTGTTCCCATGTTTATGCAACAGCAGTACAGGACATCCATGGCTCACAGGACATCCACCAGAAACAATCTCTAGGGAATGACACCACATGTGGGACCTATAGTAGTGATAAGCTACTACTCACAAATGAGTCAGGACAGTTCTTAGTTGAGAGGCCCACAGAATGAGAACAAGGGCCTGTCACTGCAGATCCTGATAGATGGATGACCATGCTACAAACCCCACCTCTCATATTAACCAGCTTCCTTACACAGGTTCAGAGGAGACACTGACAGTCAAAGTTGTCAATGTTCCTTTCTTTTCCTCTCTCTCTGTCTCCATCCCCATTTAGTCCCTAAAATTTTTTGTTAATTAAGGGAAATAATACTACAAAGGCTTGCATACTATCCGTGCAGGGCCCACGCTGTGGAGAAAGCAGCTGAGCAGCTCAGGAAATTTGGCCCTCTACCATTTTTCACTAGGTTCATTCCAGGAAATCTGAAATAACCCAAACAAAGCAGTGCCCCACAAGCAACATGAACATCGTTCCTCTAGCCACCTGACCAGGAAGCACCATGTGTCTGAGCTGGCAGTCAGGCCCTACCCCTTTTTACCCTGCATTTACCCTAAAGGACAGCATAGAGAGCTAACATTGTATGAAAATCAAATAGTATTTTAGCAGCTATTTTGCCAAGAGAAGAATGGTGAAGAAAACTTACCTGCCAATGCAATCTGGTCATACAAATGATGTTTCAGATGTCACTTTAGAGCACACAGGTGGCTTTGTACCCTCTTTCACATCCTGTTCCACTGAATCCTGACACTTACAGCAGTGAGAACAGACTGAAAAAGAAGATCCCCAATTAGAATTTGAAATTACAGAAGACATAAATGTGCTGAATACAAATGTCTTCTTCAACAAAGTAAAGTATAACTGGCAGTGGGAAGAAAGGAGAGGAGAAATGAAAGAAACAAATCTTTTAGGTCTAGTTACTTTTATTTTTCCTTGGCAGGACTCATCCATGCAATACACCTGAATATGGCTGGCCTACAGACATTGGCTGATCTGACAGAAAGTTCTGTTACATATAAATACTAGTGTGTCATATGATACAACAATTTTCATTCCCAGGGCTAGGACCTCAGCCTGGCACAAAGACAGGTTGCTACCTGCTAATATGAAAATGGAAGGGACATAATGGTAAAAGTTACATGTCACTAAATGCAGTTTACCAAGTGAGTGTAAGAATGCCGGTATTAGAACCAGCCAGCCAACTCTTTCAGTGCTTTAAAAGGAGTTCAAATTAAACAGGTATCTCAGCATCTATGAATTACTTTTAATAATCAAGTTGAATCTTTCTATACTATTACAGCAAACTGCATAAATTTTACAACATGGATCCTAGGCTTTTCCTTAAGTGACCTTTAGTCTTGGTATAATCTTGGTGCTTTGTGTTTAATTAACTGAAGAGCCAAAAAAAAAAAAAGAAAAATCTAGAGTTTTCATTCTTAAATTACTGAAAAGATAGGCTGTGAGCTACCCAAAGTGTGGGGGTTGAACCTCAGCAAAGCATCTTCGTATTTTAGTTACCACTATAACCTGCATCTGAGAACTCTGATTTCCATTTTGCTCTATCTCTCTGTTCTTCCCTTCCATGCATGGCTTTTTGAGCTCGGAAACCACTCTTAGCACCAAGTCAGCTCCTGACTCAGCTTTCCATATGTCAGAACAGAGGTACTCTCAGAACTATTCTGAGCTCTTACAATAGCTCTTAAGGGTGATGTGTAGCAACAGCAGCAGGAAGTGCTCTTAGGACAAGTATTTCCCTCCCCAGGCATGTGGCAATGCACAGAAGCACTGAAATGTGACAATTGCACAAACTGGGAAGTTGGATTGAAGCTCTACCTTCAGTTTCATGGACCATATGCTTGGTCTGGAAAGTGGCTGTACAAAATAGCACCACCTGACTCTGTAAATCCACTCCCTGTACATATTCTGAAAATGGGACTGAAAGGGAAATTCCAGTTCATGCAGCCATGTCCCGTGCTGTTGCAGGTGATCACATTCCACCACACTGGTGTGCTTTTTACATCTACTTTAAAAGCAATTTAATTTCTACATAAAAGACTATCTCAGAATACTCCAGATTCTTGCTAACTTAATGGTAAGGAACCTTTCAATTTCCAGCCTGTTATTTGTTTAGAGCCAAATCCTCCAATTCCACTTCATTTTCTCCTATAATTAGAAGTTCATTATCCACACAGCTAACAGCAAAGGCTGTGAGCAATTGTGATTTTCTTGGTTTCATCCTGCTTGCTGCTTTCCCATTGACATAGCCCCAGGGTACAGCAGGGGAAAAACAGCACTGGTGTCATAGGGGTGCATGAGTGGAAAAGGAGGAGGTGCACAGGTGTAGCCAAGAGTCACTGTCTTCCAGAAGCTTCTTTTCTTTGTGGCAAAACACCAGAAAGAAAATTAGCCCAGTCTGACTCAGTGGTCACGTTGGGTTGTGAAGGGATGTGGTTGGTGAGGAGGAGAAAAATAGCAATTCTACCTCCACACCTCTGACTTGGGAGTGTACTTGCCTGAAGTTGAAACAGAGGTAGCAGATACACAAGCATGACAAACTTATAAGTGTCCCTAGGTGAATTGAGTTCCTGCTGCCTACCAAATAGCCTCTTTCCAACAGGGGATGCCGCTGTGACCATGAGATGCTAAGAAGCTCAGACTGCTGGCTTCTGGTTTAAGTTCCCTGAATATCTCCAGACCTGACTTCCCCAGTGACCTGACAGAACTCAATTGAGTGATATTTATAACATGTTGCAAGGCCTGCTGCCTTTCTCCAGGACAGGATGTGGATTGGAAATCTACTGCTCTTGACTTCCAATACCAACTGGATGCCTAGCTGCCTTTATAAACCCATTTGATGTCTACCCACATCTTAAGGGGCTTTCTGATTAGGTCAGCTTAGACATGATGTGGAGCAACAGCTAATAGATGAAAATAACAGCAACAAAAGAAAATACATCTGCTCAGCTGCCAACAAACCCTGAGATGCTGGAGGTCCTCTTTGCCATTGAAAAACTCCTGGAGACATGTCTGGAGTTACTGAAGGCTTCACAGGGTTGGGACAGGGAACCTCACCCATGCTGATTTTGGCCACATAAGGAAGACAAATCTATGTCTCTTGATTGGAATTCTCATAGAAGTGGAACATAGCTGTGCTTAGGTTTTTTGCTGTGGCTCTAGAATGATGCATTTTTGTAGCTTTGGCTCTGTGAATTTTCTGAGGGATTGTCTAAATAGGGTGTGTGGAGAGATCCAGTTCTGAAACTGTCAGTGCTCAGCTTTATCTATCATGATCAGCAAGATTCTTGGCATCTTCAAGCATGTTATATATAAACATAATACATAAAAATGTGCCTCTGTGAAACTCTTCAGTTCCGTATATCCCTGATTTTGGAAATACTCTGATCTGCTGTCAAAACTCCCCATCACCCCGTCACTCTCAAACCTGAAGCCTAGTGCTGCCTGCACTCAAAATGTAGGAAAAGTCCTGAGCTGGACTTCGATTTTGTCAAAGTAGATGGAAAAGAAAAAAAAAGGAAAAGAAAAAAAGGAAAGGAGAAGGTGGTACAGAACTATCAGTCAAGTGTGTCAGCATAGCTTCTAAAAATGTGTATTTCACATAGAAGCTCCACAGGCAGTGTGAGGCTGTTTCTTGGAAAAGGATCGACACTTACCGTGCCTTGGGAGGTACCTTGCTGCTAGGGTGATAGCCAAAAGGAAGATGACAATGATGATACTTGAAGCAGTAATGACATTATAAGATGGAGCCACAGTAGGGAGAACACAGTCATTTGTTTTTCCTGAGACAGAAGAAATAAAACATAAATAAAGGGCTCAACAACATACTGGCATATAGCAGGTACATGAATATTGGGGGTTCTGGACAAATTCTAACTTAGCCTGAAAAATTTACTTATTCAGTAAACGAACAGACAAAGCTGGATCTGACACCTAAATTTCCTTCATTCCCCTGTATTTGATACGTGCTGAAATTTTTAACACATTCATAGAATCTGAAATGCTGGGTCTTTGTCCAGAACAGGACTGAGGCAGACAACAGTTTAAAACACCTAAGCTGTTTTTTAAACTTATGGTTAGGGTTGGTGGAAAAGTCTGAGTCCATGTCTAGAAAACCTACATTCTCAAAAGTACTCTACAGGTTTTCTTACTGTTTTCACCAGATTTATCCCTATTTTTTTTCCTTCTGAATTCACAGGTGATGGAGAATAGTGCATTAAATAGACTAGAATAGGGCTTTTTTTTACCAGAAAAAGTGTTGTGGCAGAGTTCAGTGGATCTGGAGCCTCTGCCTTTTCATCACTGGAGATGACCATTCTGATACTTGAGCATTAGGGTAGATAATGGGCTGTTCTTGTACAGTGAAGGAGAACCCTCATTCGACAGGAGGGACAGACTTGGTGCATGTTCACAGGTCTGCAGACCTATGTGCATAGGTCTTCAGATTTTCATCATCTGCATCTGGCATAATTATCCTTCAACTTTGTTAGACAATAGCCTGATCTGCTATACAATATTCCCCTCCATGGTTTGCCTCCTGCATTTACCAGAGGCTCTATTCTGTCTCCACGTTTATTAAAGGTTTATTTGGAGGACCATTTCCATCATAGAAAATGGGAAAATGGGAGTGGTTCTGCATTCTTAAAAATTAGAAAGTGGCGGTTTTGTGACTGCTGTTGTCACTGGTGGTTGCACCCTCCTCCGAGAATCTGTCTGACAACAGTGTATTACTATTATTACTCTTTTTTGTTGCTCTCCTTTTTTATGTTATATGATATGCATAACCTTCTTCCATTACCATCTCTAGGGACATTATGCACTACATCCAGCAATAACCAATATTCATAAAGCCCTAGTTTCTGGCATTCGTTCTGAAACTCAGTGACACCTCACCTCATAAGCCCCTTTGATTTTAATAGGATTGATGAATAAGGTACCTTGATGAATGAGCTACAATTTCCTAGGAAAAACAGTGTTTCTCTAGCTTCCCTTGAAGGTGCCCTTATCTTTGTATTGAAAACATCAGGCCCAGAGATATTTCAGAATACTTTTTTGGTAACAACATTAAAAAAATAAAATCCTTTTGGCTTTAAGAATTTCCTTGCAAAACCCCTTCTACTGCAAAATATCTGGACTGTAGTGTGCTGCCTCCCTCATGCTGTTTCCACTTGTGCCTCAAGCTTTTCAAAGCACAGACTTATCTATTATGTTATCACTTTCAAACCATGCACAGTGATGGAATTTTCATGCACATATTAAATATGTGTATGAAAGCAGAATTTTGCCTAGACCCCAGCTGACAGTTTGTTAAATGAGGAAATTATTTCTATGTGCAACCTGTGGCTTTTAAGGCACACGCATTTCTCAAGTCCGTCTGTTCAAATACCAGATCAGTGTCTCCCAAATGGCTCACAGGTGGAATCACTGGTCATTCTTGCATGAACAGACATACAAAATTTACTGCTTTCTCAGGCAGGCAACTCATCAGATTCAACAAAATGGGTTTGTAACACAAACTGTTAATAAAACCTACTCAGAAGCAAACTGGTGGACTTGGTAAAGCTGTTGTATTCAACGGAGCAAGTGATGTTGAAATCTTGGGTCACATTGAGTGACAGTTTGCCAGTGATGTTGTACGGGCTGAGGTTGGACTCGGTCACCCAGCTGGCATTCCACACCACGGACATGTTGTTGAGGGCCCCAGAGAGTCTGGGTTTGGGAAAACCTCCATAAGAAGAACACATTACCACCAGCTCAGTTGATTCACAAGAATCAGCGGATACTTCTGCTGTTAGGTTCGGCTCACTGAAGTCAGCTGAAGCAAGAAAGATTTAGTTACCGTTCTGACAGATTACAGCAAGGCCTGCAGTTCTTATCACCCATGTTGAAAGCAAAGACTCCCCCACAGGGTATTCTTCCTCTGTCATAACCTCTTTGGCCTTTCTTTTGCCTTAGTGTTCTCCCCACAGCCTTGCCTGAATAAGACCTCGGCCTTTGCTTCTTCTCTCCCCTGGGCAGTACACACACTTCATGACCCCACCTCTCAACTGCCACCATTTCTCTCTACATACAGCAGTTTATGGAACAACAGAAGGAATCATATGAGAAACATGGGACTCAATAAAAATCCATATTACAGGCAAAAGCAGACAATTTTCTTTTCCCTCCGTCATTAGTCCCTTTCCAGCCAGAAGCTCCCAGAGGATCTGTCTCTGCTGGGAAAGGAGGTGAGCCCTTTCCCTTGTTTCTCTCTGCTGGGCTGGCCAGCAAGAGACTGCACTACATTTTCTATATGTAATAAGCCCCTCCAGAAGCCCCAGCTGAGAGCAAGACCAAGTCGTATTAGTCATTGCAAAAATGCATAGCAGTACACAGGGCCTCCCAGACTATGTTCTCACTGGACTTTTGTCTCATTGCCAAAGAGTTTTCAGAGGCTTCCCACCCACACAGCTTATCCCATGCCTTCCTGCCTGGTCAAATGTGTTTGTAAGGCTGCATGGTGAAATGGGTGAGAGGACTAATATGAGTGAAGAAGGAGAAAAAAGGTGGCATCCATTTTAGTCTGCTTCCCTTTGCAAATTTGGTTCACCTGGTTACTGTAAACAGTTGCATTGGTACGACTGAGGATGCCCACAGGTCGCCATAAACAGTCCAGGGTGAGGAGGAAGAGGGAAGGGGTGGCAAAGGAACTACATAAGGCAACTGTACCACTGGAGAAATCTCAGTGGGACCACATCTTTAGCAAGAGAGGCACCAATCAGAAAAAGTAACTCAGGATGTGGCTTTCTGTTGGGCTTAAGTCACACCAACATGACTGCTGTCAAAATGAACAAACTCTCCTTCCCTCCCTGGCATGCTGTAGGTCTGTAGCCTCTACACCCCTCAGGCTCTAGCCCCAGCCAGAGCAAGACCAGGCAGAGAACTGCAGCAGGTAGCTCAACACACTCACTGCAAAATGACCCTTTTTGGAGCAGCTAATGTTTTGTCTGCAACTGCTCCCTGCCTGCCTCACCATTTGACCACATGACTACTGGGATCTGCATAAGGCAGACAGCCTTGTGGTTGTAGTGCATCTTCCATGGCTTCTGCTGACCACAAACTCATGGGCCAGGCTACCAAATAACTAATACCTAATGACAGGGTAACTTGCTTCGCACTGTGCAGCTGAAGGAGAGACCTGGATTTCCTTCCAGGCCCACCATCTGTTGAGCAGTATAGCATTGATGTCCAGTCTGGAAAGCAAGTCCATTCAAACATTGCAGCTAGCTTCACTAAGGCTAGCTTCACAAGCAAGCAATGGCCAGCTCTTGGGAGCTTGTTTTTATTTTGCTGATGAATCTCATTCCAGATGGAGAAATCTCATTCACCGGTCTGGAAGATTCCTGGAATTCTGCTGCTAAAGGTAATTCAAATGTATGTATGTATATAATTATATGTGTTACCAATATCTCTGCCTTTGGTTGAAACCAACTGCTACAAAAACAGTGGTAGAAATGGAAAATAATGTCAATGGAACTTTTTGTAGCCACCAAGAAAAGATTCAGATTCGTTTTGAGCAAAAGAACTTGGGTTGTTTCTTTAAGATGAAAAGCCTCCAATCTCCAGCTGAGTTCAGCCTTAGGTTGTGGAGCTGCAGTGCAGCCAGTGATCTGGCCAGCCCTCAAAGAGCCTGGGCTTCCCAAGAGCATTGGTGCAGGGCCTGGGATGCTACTATGGTCACAGAGAAGCAATGCCACTCCCGTTCCTCTTTCAGCTTGGATGCTTCCCATGCACCAAGGGCTTAGTCTCTACTCTGCCCAAAAGACAGCAGAGGGCAGAGGTGGCCTAGGGCACCCACCAGCAGTGATACCTCGGAAAGTGTCCTAGGGGGGTGTCTTTTTCCAAGAGGGAGGCATCAAGGGGAGGATGTTGGGCTGGTGGTGGGAAAGGCAAATTTTCTGTACCAGGGGTAGCTTTGGAAAGGTGAGGAGGAAAGCTGCTAAAATGGAAATAGTTAACACAACTTCTGGCACTCTTTGAGGCTTAGTGCAAGTCTACCTGCTGTACTATGACTAACACTTGGAGGAGTGTCCTTTACCCTGGGGATGGCACCAGAAAGCCTCAGGTGTTGGGACGCAATACACCTACCTGTAACAAAGAGGTTGACAGGCTCATTACACACAACCACGGAGTTCTGCGAAGATCTGAGGTGCTGAACTACACACCAGTAAGGGCCATTGTCCAGGATTTCCACAGGGGAGATCCACAGGGTGAGGTTCCTGGGGTCTATCTCTGTCCGGTTTTCATATCGGGCAGAGTTGTGCTCAGAGATCCTCTCCCCTGCTGCATAGGCAAGCACTACCTCTGTAATGTTCTTCTGCCAGTAGACCCGGTAGTTCTGTAGGCTTTCTGAGCTGGGAATTTCATGACAACAAGGCAGGCCAACTTTTTCTCCCACTTTGCTTTTGACTGCTTTCTTCTCCTGTGCATAGCCTGGGGGGGGGGGGGGGGGCAAAGAAAAGTCAGTGAGACAGTGCTATAGCCTTGTGCGAGGTCCTGCTGCATACAGCTCAATTCTTTCAGCTCTATCTGCACTTGTTAATGTACCTCATCACCCACAGAGCTGTTTATAGCTTCAGCTCTGCACCGAGGAGAGGCCTCCCTTGGCATTGCCTTTTACATGATGCTCCAGTGCTACTTAGGATCCTGAACAAATGATTTCTGAAGGCAAAGGCAGGAGAGTTACCTGCCTGAACAGAAATTCTGGTGGCCCCTTAAACACCTCAGAGTAAAGATTTGTCATTATTCATGTCAAGGTATAAAAACATATGTTCCCAAACTGTTATATCCTCTGCTTTTCCTTTTCAGACCTCAGTGTTTGGAAAATCTGTGTCACCCTCCAGTGAGTTTCCTGTATGTCACACAGAGCCAAAGTGGTCTGTAAGTCTGGGGGTTTCTGGGTTTTTGGTTTTTTTTTGGAAGAGTTCTTTTTTTTTTTTTTTCTTAAAGAAAAAACCCGAATATTTCAATATCCCAGAAGCTGGAAGCAACCCTACAATGATAAACAAAGTTTACAGCCATACTGTCATCAGCCTTCTAGTATTAGCAAATGAGGAATTTTGGCTAGTCTAGCTAAAACAAACTTGTATTTGTAAAGGCCCATGGGCCTCCCTTGAGATTACTTGCAAAACAGCACAGGCATTCCCCACCTCCTGCCCAGCAACCGTGTTGGTGCCATATCTAGTACACAGGCATGTGTCTCTTGTAGTAAGCTGAGCTCCTTGAAGGGAGAAATTGGGTACAACTTTGACCACTCTAGCAGCAATCCCCCTGCTTCACACTGCAACTTCTCTGCACTACATGCCAGTGATCAGCCCTGTTTTCCCACTGTAATTCCTCTTTCCAGGTGCTCTCAGGGGCCAGAACTTAACATGCGAGGGAGCAGTTTAGCAAGGCGCTCCTGCTGTTGCTGGAAGAGTGAGCTGGTATTAATATGCTGTCCTGTGCTTCACCAAGGTCAGGGCAGGTGGTTGGGCTTTCACCCAGGTTTGTGCAACCTTCAGGATGAGACTTATCCCTGTGCATCCTGCTTTGTTAGTCCAAAAATTTGGGTTGCTTTACATTTGCCCTGTTTGCCTCACTACCATTAGCACCCATCTCAAGTATTGGAAGGGGGGGTTACCAATCTGTTGCACTCCATGGGCTGAGAGCAGAAAACAAGGAAATAGCTGGCCTCAGGACAGAGAAGATTCAAATTCCCCAATTCCTTCCCTGAAACTTCTCATATAACTGGTTTTCCTCTGCTCAGCCACTTCACTGGTCTTCCAAAGGGAAAGAAGATTCAATTCCCCACCCCCCAGTCCTGTACTTCCCCTTATAATGCACTGCAGACTCTGAACAACCAAACTGTGGCAGACCATGAGCCCACTTGGCCCTCTGACCTCTATCAGCCAGCAACCAGTAGCAAGAAAAATTAGCTCTTCCACTCTATATGGGATAAGAACTGCCATATCTTGCAACCTTTGGCAGCCAGGCATTTTAGGGTTTCTTGACATCAGCAGTTTCATCACTACTGCTAGACCTACCCCTTGAGGAAGAGATTTTGCTCCTTCAGGAATGCATGTATATTTCTTGGCTTCCACAACATCCTGTAACAATGAGTTGTGCAGTTTGATTACATGCTGTGTGAAAAAGCATTCACCAGTAGCCCAGTTTAGGCTGAGTTTTGAAGTTCCTCCTCCTGTGTACCTGCAAGTGTGCGTGTTTTTTTTCCCCTCAACTACATCTGTGCTTGCTCTCACAGTTCAGGTCTATTGCTGGAGAGGCTCACAAGAACAGCCAGTTTGAACTTTGGGACTGTGGACCCTAATAAAGACAATTTTCTATTTTCTTTTGCAGCAGCAGTGGAAGAGTAGGCACACAGCAAATGTCAGGGTGACATCGCATCATGAGTTGCATGAGGTTCTCCGCACCTTGCCCCTAAGAGTCTCCTTTGCAACCAAAAGGAGAACAAAAACCTTCTTAGCAGTACATGTGCAGGGTTTGGAAACTCCTGCTGATGTCACATCTACCCTTAAAAGGCTCTGCACCCTTGAAACTGCAACCTGAATGCTGCAAGCCTGAGGGAACCAAAGTCCTTGAAGAGTCATTCAGCCCCACAAAAGTCCCCTTTCACTTTAAAGATGAACTGCAAAGCAAAAATGAAAATCCAGTTCTGTCCATTTCTGTGCTGAATGCTCTCTGTGACCAGGCTGTGGGGGAGGTACTCACCATGCAAAAATTTTTAATGACTTCCAGAAAAGAAAGATCCCTCCTTTTCCCACCCCCCTGAAGCCCACCCAGTCCCAACCATCCACACACACAGCTCCATCACTGGGAGGCCACAGTGTGTGGCAACACTGACCTGATTAAAGGTTTGACTTCTGCCCTAGGCAGAAAAACATGCTCTGTTCCAACTATACCTGTGCTGCAGGTGCCCCATATAGCAGAGCTACTTAGAAATGAGTGCAGAGGAAAACCATCCTTTCTTATTTGCTTTCAGAGTCAGCAAGCAGGAGAGCTCTTGAGCCTGTATTCCTATTTCCTTCACTCCTCGTCCAAGTCATGTTTCAGAAACACCACAGTCACAGAAGCTTGGTGATCCTACCACACATAAAGTCACAGAACTCCTGCAGAGACAATTGACTGCAAAAGGCAGTAAAAGACCACACAATGCTCTAGAGAAACAGCATTGAGCTGCTGGAAACCTTCAGGTAACTCCTGAAAACCCCAAAGCCACTCTCTTTCCCCTCTGTTCCAAATTTTTCTGCTCTTCTAAACTGCTTTGCCTTTTTTTGGTCTTACCTCACGTTACATGGCTTTGCACACAACCCACGAAGCAATACATGTGATGGGAAAGGTCCTCCTTGCTGGGCCTGGATCTTTTGCCCCTGCGTAAGCAGCAAGGAAGACTGTGGATCCACACATTTTTTTTTGCAAAAAGCTCTGGGGCAAACTGCTGGTGGCCTTCCAAAACCAGGAGGATCAAAACAGTCTTGCATTGGTTTTATCTGTAAGTTTCCCTCTTTATCTCTGCAACAGCAGCCAGTCTCTCTACTCTTCAATTATTAGCATCACTGAACTTTGCCTAGGACCATGCACATGGGACTCCTGCTCTGTCAGGGAGCTGACACTGTTGTGCAGGGGCTGGTAAAAGGGGCTTGGCACAGCTCTGGGAGGAGATGCACAGTGTGCTGTGGTGAGGCAAGGGCACTTCTGGTAGCTGAGGCTGCGCCAGCTCAGGAAAACACATCTTGTGGAGCTGCAGCTTTCTCTGGGAGGCCACCCCTGGGGTTGGTGTAGGAATCACACCTAACAGTCCCTGGGTAATTCTACAGCCTCTTTTTCTGTGAATAGCACATTTGCCCCAAACTTATAGGATTTATCCTTTGAGGACAACACAGTATTTTACAGGGATTTCCAACCAAGACAGATAAGCAGTTGAAAATCTGAGAAATTCTGAAAAGCTGAGTCTTTAAAGAACTAGTTACTGGCTGTTGGACTTTTCTTTATCAAAGATGATTTTAGCAGTGAGGAATCAGATTTTGCCCAGGCTTGCCATGGAGTTAAAATTCAGCAAGTGTCCTGTGCTACACTGGAACACATGAAGAAATGCTTTGTATTTAAAGCAGTGTTGTGACAGATTCCTGTGAACACACCGATCACAGAAAGACCCTATTAGATAACCTCCGCGTGGGGACATCAATTCAGCAGTACATAAAAACACTACCTTTTCAACGGTAGTTGACCCCATGCAATGAGAAAGATGGGATGAAACAGAGAAAAGTGAGTGCTGGCAGGCCCTTCTGGCTGTCCATTTTAAGGACTCTGTGACTGTATATTAACCTTCTACCCAGACTCCATTCCATCAAATAGAGGCACGCAAAGGGAAGTCTCAGCATGCAGAGAATGGAGGAGTGGCTCTTTCCCTTTGCACAACCCCAAGGCTAGCTCCTATCACAAGCCACAGGCCTGTTGATGCAGCTACAAACCCAGATGGCTTCACTCATGCCACAGTCACCTCTTGGGAGGTCATGTTCCCTTACTCATTCCAAATGCAGTGAGAGAGGAGCAGAAGAGAAGGAAGAAAAACAGCAATGCACTTCATTTGCAGTGGTTCCACTGTCCCATACCTGCTAGTCAAGCACGCCTCCAGCAATTGAGTGACAGGATTAATCCTACATTACAATGATGTAATGGCAGGCCTGAAGTAGGGAAGCAGTGTGAAGAGGTTTATCTAAAAGTTCATCTCTGTTTGCTTCTGCACTGTAACCTCAGGGTGCTCTGCTTGGAGCAATACATCAAGGGCTCGGCTCCCCTGATGTGGCTCTATGTACTTCCCATCTTCACATTGCCACATTCCTCCTAAACAAAACTGTAACCTTGCTTTGCCCGGCTCTACACTGCTTGATATAGCAATGATTATAACATCCACATGGTGTTTTGGTGCCTGACTCCTTCAGCAACCTTCATTTCATTTTAATGCTTTTTTGTTCCACATGCAAAGCCTGTAGTGAAGAAAATCTTGAAGTCAGGAATTGATGCGACAACCAAAGGACATCTTCCTGTGTCTGTAGACAGAAAGACAGTCCATCTTTGGGAGTGTGTACTAATCCCATTTTTTCCCAGCAGCTTGAGGCCCTATTGATGCCAAATTAAATTATCCATCTTATTTGTTTCCCTGAGCCTACTTTGATAAACAGAGATGTACTGCAGGTAACACTCATTTTAAAGTGGTTCACAGGGTGCCCTCAACACATGCCAGTGTTTGATATGGGCCCAGTTTCTTAGACATGAGTACTGCTGAAGCCCTCCATGTGACTGCAGTTTCTTTTGCAGGTTACAGACCAAAAGGTTACTGCTTTCTCCAGTCTCAATCGCTGCTCACCAGAGAGCTGATTTCACATACTTGGGTAGCCTTTTTGCCACAAAAGTCATCAAGGCAACTCAGCCAA